AGCACTGTTTGCATTTATTTTTTTCCATTCACTGTCATTGGCATTGTGCTATTCTTGAATTATTTCCAAATCTGTTTATGTTCACAGATCGAAGGCTCCCTAAGGACAACACAAAACCTAACACTCTCCAGTTCTATAGTGACTGTCAGGACATATTCTAGGTTCTTAACAAGTATTTTTTGGGTAACTAAAATCAACCCGGTAAGAAGTTTGCTGTTTACGGTTTCTCAGCTACAAATGTATAAGTAAAAATTATTTATTGTGAGACTATAAAGTTTGTACCTCAAAAATAGTTACTATTAATGTGTTTAGATAACCTTGTTTAGGGACTTATATCTTATTCAACTAATAAGATGTATTTGTAAAAAAAAAAAAAGTGGTGTTTTACAAGTCATTTCCTATTAATCAGGTCAGAAACATTTCAAAAGTTCAATACAGTTCAGCTAAATGCTATGAATCAAAACACTCAAAGATCTTTTGTTTCAATCCTATACTTCCTGATGGAATTTGAAATTAAAATGTCACTCTCACAACCAGTTAACAGTATTGCAACTAGATGGGGGAAACTGGTAAGGGTGCCTCCCTCCCCCAATTTAAAAGTATTTTCACAATAAAAAGGGACATCATTTTTAGTTTGTTGAGACCTTCCAATATGTAGTCCCCAGAAACTAGATTCATTAAAAGGAATATCGAAGGCCTACCCAGGTCTTCAAATTAGTGCCCGCATATACCATATTTGTTGAACAAATTCAGATTTATTGAAAGTAAACATTTACATTGGCTACAATGTTAGAACTATTACAAAGCTGGATAAAAGAGGCTCAAGTAGCAATAAAAAGCAAGTGCAATAAAAAGTGAATAGAGAAAATATTTGGCCTTAGTGATCTCTTGGCAGTATTTACATTATATACATATTGTTAAATATTTATAATAACTCTAAGGCACCAAAGGCTAAATAGCAGGTTGCAATACTATTTTGTGCACAAAAGTCAAGAAATGTAAAGAAGTTTGTGTAGTTAAAGAAACATAGGCATACCTTAATGTTTACATAAAGGACTGGCTGCAAGTTTTAAATCTCAAATGATACATTAGATTTTGGGCAGACTGAAAAAATTATTTTTAGAACATTAAATTATGTAGACTATGTAAATAAGCACTATTTTTTACCAACTTACTGGTAAATGTGTAATGCAATCTATTCTTCAACACAGCTTCTTCACACTCATGGGTATGTTTTGTCTAAAAACTACTTGAAATACTTTTACCCTACAAAATCTTATCCTATATTTCATAGTGTGTACAAAATCCCCCCAAAAAATTTACTCGGTAATAATATACATCAAATGTATATATAATCTGGCAAAAATTTAGCAGGTATTAAATGCCAAAATACTTGAATGTTCAATCTGCCATTCCGGCATAGCAGTTAGGTCTTTTAATCCTTTAACACTTTAGAGTGGGCAAGTATTTGTGGCTGTAGGTGAATGCACATAGAATTGGCCTACTTAAGAAAAACAATCTCAAAAAGAACTAATTTCAAATTTTGCAACTTGAAATCCCTTCAGATAACTCACTGGGTGCCAATGATGTCATTCACCACGAGTGGCTGGAATATCCACGTTAGAGCAGAGTCAAGAAGTAACTGACAACATCTGTGTCCGGCATGGTCTTAACTGGTGAATTATTCGATGACCACTGTCTATAAGTCGGCACAAACCGTACTGACTAGAAATTTTTCTTACACTAGAAATCCGGTTTACTTTAACAAGCAGTCTATTTGTCTTGAGGTAGTGTTGCAATGAAAAATCCTGCAGGACAATAAAATGTCATAAAGTTTCTAAAATGTGCTTTCAAATGCCACCAGCAAATCTTATTTATAGAGAGGGTAGATGGTCCAGCGTCACATGCTTCTCTACAAAAAATTTCCATCTGGTGAAAGTTATCCAGACTCTTTTATAAGGGAGGTGAATTTCTCATCAAAATTTCTGAAACTCCATGCCTTAGATTACGGGTTTTAAAATTCTTTCATTACATAAAGTACTGTGAAAATTTGCTCGTGATATTAATTTAGAGATTCACAGACTGGCATGGTAAAGACCTCTTTTAGCAAAAGAGAGAAAATTCAGGAATTTCTTCTCTGAACTCTTCACTGAGAAACACTGACAGGATTAACAACTGTTGGGATTGTTAGTTTGTTAAACTACATAGCATTTGACAGGAACTTTTAGAACATGGTACTTTTAAAATGACAGTTGAAAAATCCAATATCTGACTGAGATTTACAGAGCAACAAATATAAAACTTATTCCAGTATAATGTATTCTACAACACCAAAAATGACTTACTATAATGCGTTCTACAGTACTGAGTTATTTGCATACACTTTTTTCCTATCTCCAATGTTCAATCATTTCCCTGTCTTTTACACAATGAAAGAGGACAAATTATTCCTAGGGAAATGTTTACAAAACCAGTAATGGAGGAAGAAAAAGGAGAACTAATAAATCATGAACCTTCTTCCTCTACTTCAAAAATGAAAATAAACACTTGCCTCTGCTTGCTGGGTTATTAGCTAGGAGCAATGGCTACACAATTAACACAGCAATTACAAAACATCAATGCACAGGTTTCCAATGATTATTAAAATACAGTACAATGTCCAATGTTTGGAGCCATCAAAGAAATCAACATAACATTTTAATGGGGTGACTGGATCAAGGCATGGTGTTTAAGTCTCTAAATTTTAAAGATCTGCTTGGACTTCAGAAGCATTATATTCATTTACTAACAACAGTAAAAGCAGTTCATCTTCAGATAAAAAGATAAGCATCTTCCTCAGCCTATCATAATAGTCCTAATTTCCAACAGTTCAATGAAAAGATGAGCTCTCCTTGAAACAACTGCTTATAGAGGTTCTAACACAACTTTGGAAAAGAAAGCTACCATTCTGTGTATTGTTCTACAACTCAATTAGTGATCGCTGTAAGACATCTTACTGATTAACAGGCATCATGAAAGAGGTAAACTGTGCTGTTACATGTAATGGGCATTGAGCTAGCCACACTCCTTCAGACAGGCGAATCTACTTTTAAGTTGACAAAAGTTTTTATTCCATCAGTTTTCTTTCCGCTTAAATAATTTCACTTGAGTCTTACAAATTACTTTCCAGTTCAGATTCTGTAAAAGATACAATACTGTATCTTTTACAGGTCGCCCAAGTGTTAAGGAAACAAGAATGGATTAGGCCGGTGGCTTTTAAACTGTGCTGGGTGGCACTCACAGAGCTTCCCGAGGCGGGGCCTAGAGGCCTAACACCAGGTGAGGGCTCTGAAGCCATAGCTCCCAAATCCTATGTGACATCTTCACGTTGATGCCGCGTATGGAATGTCCCACAGAATTAAAACTGATTCTGTTGCCTAAAAATGTTTCCAAAACATAGTTACAACGATTTGGGAGACTAGGGGAGTCCTCGCAGAAAGCAGGACACTGTCCCCTCACCTCACACCAAGTCTTCAGATAAGGAGTCACAGAACAGTAAACCGGTCCTTCGACACCGACACTGTCCCTCAGACTGGCCCTGTACTCAGAGGCAGCAATCAAAACAGACTGACGTTTTAGGCAGATACTATCAAAATGATTAGCATCCCATCCTCTTCTGGTCATTTTCCAAAAATAAGTGGCCTATCAATTATTTACAGTATGAGAAAAACAAATGATTATTAAACACTTCCTAAACTTCAACCCTTGACAATGTGTATAACCTTTTTCTCACCTTTCATGCCAAAGGAAATAAACACAAAGTTATCACATTATACTTGCAAATGATTACACATTTGTATTTTTTTCTTCCTCCATAAACTACAATCAGATATGAGCTTTGATTCAGGGTTTGAATAGAGTGGCAGACTCAGTAATTAAACTGCTTTCATGAATGGTCTGATTCCACAGACACAAAGTAGGAAAATAAACACTGTCAGTTAAAACCTGAATAACTTTAGGACTCAAAGAAACAGAAAGATTGTGATGAGCACAGGATTTCTGAAAGGGAAATGCTGAGAGCTGGTGTTACTGTTCTCTATAAACTTATTTGTGTTCTTTTAATATAAAAGAAACTTTAAAGTTTGTTTTCTTTCTCAATATGAAAAAATTAAGCAGAGGTATTAAATGAACAAATATAAAATGCTGGTGTGGTATAAATAAAGTTTTAAATGTTCCATTGTAGAAAATAAAATGTATACACTGTTTCTTTCAATTCTGAGGCCTTTCTTTTAAACGTAAGATCATCTGAATATAGATTTGGCCCACCAGGACCTCTATAGTCCCCAAATTAGTATTATTATTAATTGTTTTCGATACCAGGAACTGAACTCACGACCTCACGCTTGCCAGGCAAGTGCTGTGCCACTGAGCTACACCCCCGGCCCTACAGTCCCCAAATTATGACTTACAGGTAACACTTTAAATAAGTTAAACTGTAACCAGTGGGATATTTCTTTAAGCAAACAGAAAAATTATCTGCAAATAGTTTTTGTGAATTAATAGTGATAAATTTGGCTCATAATCCGGTTTGTGTTGGTTTACTGTTTACTGAGTATTACCTTTCTTTCACTGAGTGAGGATAGAATGGTGATGACATCCCATCTCTCGTCAAAATATATACGTATGAATATACACACATATCTGTACAGCTACACGTCTTGACGCATGAATGTACATGTATGTGTATTACATACTTTGTCACAAAGCACTGCTTCTAGGACTTAATTTCTTTTTATAACCAAAAGTAGAACAGGCACTATCCCTCCCAAAACATGTGAATATTCATACCACTAATTACACTGCACATCAGAATGTGCAAACAGTATACTTATTGCAAAGTATCTGACAGCTTTAGATGCCAATAGAAAGTGTTATCAATTTTATTTTGGTAACCTAAAATGTTGGTATATAATATCAAATGTCCAATTAAAGAATTTAATATAAAAATATCAGCACAAAACTGTTTTTTCAATCTGTTTATTGTGTATGCAACCCAAACTTCAGTTTAAGTGCTGTTTTAATTTTATTACTAGATTTCATAACCCTACAATTGATAAATTTTGTACCATTTTAGGTATTTAAGGAGAGAGTTAGAAATGCTAAGGAAAAAAAAATCAGTATTCAAAGGGTTCATTTTGTTTATAATAACAATAAATTATTTTGTCATCTTCTTCAGTTCAAAATCCAGCTTTGAACACGAGGAAGGCTTTCGAATCACGTTAATTAAACAGTGTGGTCTTTTAACCAGTAGCGGTCTGGTTACCAATGACTCGGAGGATCTCTTTGTGAATGCCCCCTTCTTGCGTGTTAATATTTGCGTCTCCCACTTGGCCATCTTCGTAGCTAAAACAGAAAACATAGAAACGCAGAAACACTTAAAAAGATGTGAGGACTGAAAATGGATTCAAAATACTATCTGATACCTAGAACACAGCCCCGGGATAGTGATTTTTTCAGCTGTAATTCATAGTGTGTTCTCTTCTGTCCCTGCTGCTCACTGGACAGTACTGGCAAAGGCTGCCGCGGCCTCCTAGTCACCTATGCTCTGTCGTGCCTTCATTTACCCTCTTCCATCTTAAACTTAATTTCTTCATCTTCACAGGAAGCACTGCCCGGGGCCTGGCTCTTAGGCATTGCAAGCATTTCCACAACTGTCATGAGGCCAACTGCAAAGGAATATACCGACTTCAGCATTGTGTTCCTTAGGCTGTGGACTTCTTCTCTCTAACTTCACTTCAACCAGTTCTTTCTTCTCCAAATGCTGACACTCACTTCACCCTCCAGCCCTGTTTCTTAGCCATGCCCACATCCTAATTATTGATCGGCTAGAACTACTCAGTTCTAATCAGTGCCGAGCATTTTCCTTATCACTGGATGTTCGTCCTAGTCAGTCTGACTATAACAAATTCTTATTTCTGCCGGTGCTTCACATAAGAATGCAAGCCTGCTAAGTTTAGCTTAGCATTAAAAGTGAAGATATGATATTCAAAGACAGCAATTGCTGAGTTCTTTACGAAGAAATAATTGCATTTTGGATCATTCATTTCCTCAATAAACTTACTTAGGCAATAAGAATTTCCAAAGAATGAGTTTTTAAACTTCCTTGATAATATTCAGAGTGAAATAGGTGATGAATTAATTTTACTTTATAAAAATGGCTTCAAGACAGAAGCTTTAGAGAAGTGGTAATTACTTCAAAATAGATAACCACAGGCATAAGCACCGTGTCTCAAAGATTAATGCACGCCACTGTCTTTTACTCCCATACTTAAAATTTTCCAGAAATAGCACAATAAAGGAAAATGAAACAAATGACATAAAACCACAAGAACTTAGCTCCTGACATAATCCATTTGCTTCAACAGCAAGTGATGATTCCATTGGTACAAGTCTAAATTCCATATTAAATGATCCAAGGTTTGGTTAATTCTTACAAGTTCACTATTTCAGATATACTCAGTGCCCCTCTGTCTATAAGATAAAGGATGGATAATGTGGTAACAGCCCACCTACAAATATTTTCTCAGATCAATCAGTAAGTGCTCTCTCAAGAACCAGAGAACATGTTAAAACAATCGGAAGTTGTTCAAAGTGAAAGTGCTTCAAAGTGCCCGTACATGTTATTATGCAAATAGACCATGTCAAGCCACTGTTCGTATAAATCTTGCCTGGTGACCCCTGACCAAGGATAAACGCTAAGCCATCCTCACTTCTCAGCAGAAGGTGGAGACCCACCTGACTTGAAGGTGCAGCTCTACATTAAAAGTAGTGTTTTATCATGATGGGCAGATTAGCTCCAGCTAAGATGCAGATTATGCAAAACAACAAAAAGAGAATGGAAAAGCTACAGAGAGACCTGTACCACCAGGAGAGAAGTGGGAGTGGCAACACCTAAACTGTTTTGGTTCTTTATGGTTTCCAGTTTGAAATAACAACCCACATGCAACTTTGCACTTCCCGATTTAGGTGTGTTCTCTCTTCATTGCATTTTTGCTGCAGTGAACATACCTCCTACAGCCTATGTAGTCTGAACACAAGGTTGAGTTGAGGAAGACATGCTCGGCTTGCCTGATACCAACTCTGTATGCTACCACCTTTATCCTCTGCAATTTGAAGCTGACCTTTGAATAAAATTTGTCTTTATAACTCCCCGTTTTCACCTTGACCCACTGCAGTTTTTCTTCTGTCCCTACTGCTCAAGTGCTGGCAAAGGTGGCCCCGGCCTCCTAGCTGTTGAATCGGGAGATCACCTCCTTCACCTGTGGCGTGGAATACACTGCTCTGCTGTTTTTCATGCTTTATTACTGCATGCCCTAAGCAGCCTGTGATTAATCGCCCTGCTCAGTCTCCCATTTCAGTGATGGTTTTCTGCTTATTCACTCCTCAGTTTCCTCTCCCATTCCCTACACACTTTCTCCATTCTCTTACCCTCCATCTTTCACTGTCACTCCCAGGACTCCTGAAACTGCGCCTCCACTCCTCAGAGCTCTGTGTAATGTCACTGTTCACAGACATCAAAAATGCAGCACATTGGAAATCCCACTCTGACTCGCTCCCCACACCTGCATGTGATGTGCTACCCACACCTCAAACACCTCAGCAGTCTTGCTTCCTCCTTGTGCATGGATTCAGTGATCACCAGGTTCTCTTGCTTGCATTTTGCTAATTATTTCTAGTTACTTCTTTTCTCCACCTGATGCTATAATCTTTGTTTGGGGGTTCTCATTCATTTACATGTGAGTTTTTTAGGTTACAGGTTGCATATAACCAGTGGACTGCAAAATTAATTTGTCTAAACTAGCATTTTAAGTGAGATTAGAACAGAAGTTCTGACTTCACTATACACAGAAACCATTATTTTTTGCCTTAAGTGATAATGTAAACACATTTCTTCTTTGTGGTAGAAAGAGTGACCTAGACTATTGTAATAACATTGTATCTGACCTTTCTGTCCCTGTATTAACTGCTCCCATCGTCTCCTCTAGAAGACCTGTCCTCCACCCAACTGCAGCAATACAGAATGATCTCCACCTCACTTACAGAAAGCAGGGTCACCAGGAATATCATCAGCTCCTCCACAATCCCAAACAAACTTCTTCTCTAGTCATGGGCCATGACTCCCCTCACGTGTCACTTTCTATGAATGGGAAGGTTTGTTCTCCCCAAGTAGGACACGTTCCCCGACACAAGCACAAAAATTAACAGAGAGGAGGCTCGCATCCTTTGAATAAACTACAGAAATTTAGGACAAACAAAACAGGAGGAGAGAAAGAGATGGAGAGACAGAGACAGAGACAAAGACAGAGACACACAGAGACACACAGAGAGAGGGAAAGACAGAAAGAGACACACAGACTGAGGAAGACAGAGACAGAGGGGGAAGAGAGACAGAGACAGACAGAAAGAGAAGAGACAGAAACAGACAGAGTGAGACAGAGAGACAGAAAGACAGTGAGAGAGATGGAGAGAGAGGGGAAGAGAGAGACAGACAGAGACACAGTGAGGCAGAGAGAGAGACAGAGGCGGAGAGAAACAGAGAAAGAGAAGGAGAGAGAGACAGAGCGAGAAGGCAAGACAGAGACACACAGAGAGGGAGAGAGCATGCAAAGAGGAAAACTGAGGGTACAAGCAAGGGCAAGAACTGTGGAGGGCACAGATAGTTTGAAATATTAAAGAAAACTGAAATGTTTAGTTCCCTATGAAATCCACAAGGAAACACAAGACTTATAGAATAAAGGAAAAAACTGGCCGGGGAATTTTGGTGTCTTGAACTATGAGTTGTGCATACTCAAGAAAACCATGTGATTCAGGCAACTCACAAAGCTTAGACATAGGAGTTGCTAATAGCAATTGAGTAACTTTCACAATACAGCACACAGAATTCTTCACAAACAGTCTAAACATGGGGTTGTTAATGTCGCGAGGAACTTCATTTATTCCTGGAGAGCAACAACAACAAACGTGGTCAAAATAGAGATGATACACATGGCTGGGCTTTTGGTAGAATGAAAAGAAAAACAGAATAAAAAGAATAAAAAGAATAAAAAGAATAAAAAGAGGCAAAAGTGAAAGTAAAAGACAATAAAAGGAGGTAAAAATTGCTTATATTGCCGGGGGATTAAAACAACTTACTAAAATTTGAACAAAAAAGAAAAGTTTGCGTTAAAAATATTCAAGAGAAAAATAAGACGATAGAATTTATCTTCCTAGAAAAATCTTAGATGTGTCAGGAAACTTCATAGTAAGAATTGTGAAGGTATTAACAGCATCTATTCTCAAACTGACACAGCCTCTTTTGTGAGCTTGTTTGGAGGTTCTAGTAGGGGCACGCAGCTACTCTCGTATACCAGTGATCAAGGAACAGCCCTCCTCTATCGGGGGTGGTCGCCCTCTTCGACCAAGCGCACAGCTTCGGAGGGACGCACGTGGAGTGCTGAGGGAGGAAGGGGACACCCGCCCAGCCAGCCAGATTAGCCGAATCAACACTGGCAATCAGTGGGGTGACTGATGTCGCAGCTAGATTGCCCTCACATCCGACTGCCTCTTTTGTGAGAGTTAGGAGACCACGCACAAGTAAACTCGTTTCTGTCTCCGCCAATCAGCAACCCAGAAACTCTAGCACTGCCTTGCATCAGCAAGAGAAGAGGCAAACACTCTCTGAGAACTGGATGGTATTTCCACTGGTCCAAAGCTTCTGTAAGAAAACTGATGCTACCGGTACACATCTACTTCACATTCCATGTATGAGCTCTTCACTCAGATGATCCGTTCTTTCACCATTGCTTCCACTTAATACATACTGCTAAGTATTTCTGCAAAAGTCAGTTTGGAGAGTCTAACGCATGGCTTGAATTTGCATTTTACACAGGAATAAAATAAGAGTTATACAAATAACTACCGGGCAAGGCAGTCTGAGAGCTACGGAGACAGGAAAGTTCAGAGACACGCCATTTCTACCTGGGAGGTCGGAAAAGGAGTCATGGAAAAGATCACACTGCAGTGAGCTCTGATGAGTAAGGGCTGGAAGTAGTAGCTCAGTGGTAGAGCTCTTGCCTAGCACGAACAAGGCCCTGGGTTTCAGCCCCAGCACCACACAAACAAAGGAAGGAGGGAGGGAGGGAAGAAGGAAAGAAGGAAAGAGAGGAAAAGAACAGGCAATGGTTCAGATGGTGAGAAGGGCAGACATACAGACCGAAAGACTCGAGTTGGGCACAGGACTAGGAAAGGTATTTGAAGAGTGTTTTTAAGAAACAGCTCAGACAACCGTTTCATTTGATCAGTAGTTGGTACAGTGACTGAAATAAAGTAGAATGTGCTTTACATTGCAAAACACCATGTTTTCA